TTATCTACGTCACAAGATACTCTCGCTGTCAAATACAGGATAAGTTTGTTAAGTTTCTCTCCATTTGACAAGTGCCCCCGGCGACAAGCATTCACTTTGTCGGAGCCTAGGGCTGTGGCGTGAAAGGTGTTGAGTCATCGGGTACAGTGGTCATGCGACATAAAGATTACTTGATGACGGAGATCGCAGAGGGCCCAGGGGCCAAGGTAAATGGCTGGAAAAGACGACTGTGGTTATGACCTAGGGTATAAGCAAGCAGGCTCGGGGCTGAGACACGGTTCCAGCCCTAGAATTGCATTTTAAGTTTGAGGCAAACTTCCAGCCTCCCATGTGACGTGTACACGCCTCGCTGGCTTTAATAAGAAACACGGTTTGCGGCGCAATTCCTCGCAATCTATAAATCGGAATCTTGTCCCTCTCCCATCTCTTCCCCAACTCAGACAGTGTCCACCCAAGCCGCCTCCGCCCTTTCCCTCCCCCGCCCCGGAGCGCCCCGCCATTCATCAACCGGTTCACACCGGCACCAGCCGCCGCGCAGTGACGTCCGCCGGAGGCGGACTTCCGCCCCCGCTCTCCGGCGCTCGGCCGGGGGGCCCCGGCCGTGATTGGTGGCCGGGGCTTCGCACGTTGCGGCGGCTATAAAAAAGAGGGTTTGTGACGCAAGGGCGCCTCGGCGCGCGTATTGGCTCCGTCAACTGCGGGCCGGCTTGGCTACGCGCTCTCCTCGGAGCCGTTCACTGCATGGTAGAGTCTGGTACCCCCGCCGCTGTCTGCAAATCGTTCGCCGCGCCGCCACGACCGCCGCCGCCCCCTGCCCTGCTGCCGCCGCCACCTCTGCCGTCTGTGTCGCCGCCGCCTCGGGACCGGCTGTATGATTAGGCCACAATCTTCAATGAGTAAACATATTCCTGTGAGTATCTGTCGTACCGCCGCCTCGAGGGCTCGGGCTCCACGACCGCCCCCCCCCCAATCCCTGCCGTCGCCTTTGTTCAGAGCCTGGTGTCCGCTCCCCGCCGCCCCGGCCCTTCGTTTCGGTCGGTCCCTGGTGGTAGGGAGCCAGACTACCATCCTGTTGCCGGCCGGTGGCGGCTGACTGCCAGGAAGCGGACGTCGGGAAATGCGGGATGGCGGTTGGCAGCGGAGGCACCGGCGAACTCGTCTCTGCCGAGCCCGGGACGGTGGGATCGGTAGGGCCAGGCCTGCGCGGCAGGCGGGGGCGATAAAGGCCACCGCCGCAGCGGGCCGGGCGGGGCGGCACAAAAGCCGCTTTGTGACTGCCGCCTCCACCCTTGGCGCGTCTGGTCCGGGCCCGGCGGGCTCCACGGCATCCCGAGGCCCCCTTTGTTTGGCCGAAAGAGACCCGCCCGCCCGGGGAGCGAGAGACGTGGCCCGGGGTGGGGCGAGGGCTGCGCGTGTCACTGCGGAGCCGGATACGGGCTGGGCGCGGCGGCGGCGTGGTCGCCACCAGAGCCGGCCCGGCGTGGGATAGGCGGGGCTGCTAACACATTCAGCCGCGAGCTCTTGGGGGGCTGGCGCGGTACAGGACCCGGGTGAAGCCACCTTTGTGCTCCGCGGTCGGGCGCAGCGCCTCAAACAAAATGGCCTCGGCGTCCGCGCCTGACTGAAGGCGCGGTGCGAACCCGTGATTGCGGCGCGGAGAGGGGGCGCCACGGGCGGGCCCCGTGCACGCGGCGTGAGCCGAGCGGCGACCATCGGGGGGCTGTCCACAAGCTGTAGCCCTTCGGGGGGCCTTGGAGCGAGACTGTTAGGTGAGGGCGCCAACTCTCTTCCCCTCCCAGCTTCCCCAGTCACCACCTGGTAATTCAAGCTATTCCAGATTTAACACTCTCTTTTGGGCTGTGGATAAAGGGAACAAGTTGAGTCTTGTTCTTTTCATGAGGCAAGTTGGTCGAGAAGTGGCCTTGGAAACATCCAGGGCTACTGTTGCATGGAAGCGAAGGAGTCCCCTGCCGGGCACCAGCACGCACTTTCCCTGCCAACCTTGGAATGGCCCTGGGTGGCGCCTTTTAATCGGGGACTATTCCTGAACTCCGTGGTGTAATGTGTTATTGCCTCCTGTTGGCTTGTGGCAACAGTAGCCAACCAGAGCCGGAATCCTAAGGTTTGTCTTCTGTCCCTGGCAGCCTCTTCCACTCCAAAAGTATTAAGTTGTTATTTGCGCTGTAGCCGTCGATCTGCTTGGGATCCAGATTCTGAGGCAGTGCATCCTGTTACTCTTTCAATATGAATTTTGTTTGATGGCATTAGATCAGCTGTAAAGCAGAAAGCAAGATCATCCCTGAGTGCAAGCAGTATTTTATACATGGTTTTTTTCCTAGATGCATTACCTATAATTTAAGTAAATGTAGGACAAACTCTTCAACGAAGTATTTTACAAAGCAGTTCTACAGATTGTCTTTTTTGCAATCTGACAAGCTGATACACAGAAATTGTGCTTTTCTACCGTTTATATTTTTGTGATTATATGCTACTCATAAATGAGAGGGGAGAAATTCCCTGGTATTTCTGAACTGCTGTTGTATACTGGAAGAGACGGTAGGTATCAGCGGTCACTGCTGCTTTGGTAGAAGCCCCTCCAAGCCGCTGGGTGGCTCCACTCACTAAAAATAACCAGCTCAGTAAGTGAATTATTTTTATACTGCTTTCTCTGCTTTTTGATTAAACTGCTTACATGAGTGCTCACTCAGCTGTAGCAGAAATCTTAGCTGTTATATTTGGAAATAACGGTGTCTCACTCATAAATTGGCTTACAATTGCAAAAAGTATCTGAAAATAGTAAGAATACTGAGAAGAGTCATTGCCCTTAATAGCTTTACAAATAACTTCTTTAAAGGGGCAGGATATACTTTATTGAAAGGAAGTAATATTTAGGACGTGAGGTGAGATTATACTTGAAATTATTTCCAGGATACTACAGTCTAATCGCTGTAAGAGTGAAGTCCCTAATGATAATTTAGGCACTAATATTTTCACCAAACTAGCAAGTAGGTGAAGTAACAACCTGGAAGGGCTCATTTGAACAAATTTGGAATAATAAAAGTTATCTTACAGAAGGACCTTTTGTTCTATTGTTTGACAGAAAAACGGGTCTTACTTGATCTTTGATCTGCTAGATTTTTGTGTGGGTTATTCAAAATCTAGGAAAGTTTTTCTAGAAATTACAATGTAGGAATCTTTTAAGGTATAAAGTAGAAATAGGAAAAAATAGTTTGAATTTAATTGTAGGAGTTTTAAATGCTTATATTTAAGTACAGAAAATTAACGGAAACATGTTACAAAACTTTATTTTCTTTTACTTGGTAATTTGCCCGTAAGAATACATATAAACTCTTTGGGGCAGTGGTTGGCATTTGGTGCTCTTGTTAACCTACTATTAATATTCTTTCCTTTATTCCTAAGTATACAAAATTTTTATGAACCACTTGAAAAAAACATTGATATTGATGCTTTTTGAATACAAATTCTGAAATAACCTGTGGATATTCATTTAATGGTGTATATTGACATAAAATTCACTTTGTTCTTTAAGGGAAAGTGGGGGAAAATATAAAGGCATTTATTGATGGTAGTAGTTACCCTACTTTTGAGACCTATGAAAGAAGTGTAAAGTAATTTCTACCACATACCACTTCCTTCTTATATCTTTTGAATTAGATCTGGTTTCAGGCTGGGCGAGTGAAATTTTTGTTTTAAAATATAAGAATATTACTGAAATCATGAATGTCTTTTATAGTCATAAATGGGAAATGTTTTTAAATTCATAAAGATAATCCTTATACTTTAGAAGTTCATTAACTTCCAAAGACTTAAATATGAAAAATCTGTTAAAAGAAAATAATTGGTTGTTAAGGATCAAATGAGATGGTTGGTGTATATGGAATCATTTTGAAAAGTAAGTAAATTATGGGAACACTGCTTCAAAGTTTTCATGAAGTTTATAATATGGAAAAATAATTAGTTGGAAAAATCTTTATAGGAAATCGTATGTATGTTTTATAATAATGTAAAACCGACCATTAAAAGGAGTAACTAATAGAAGAATATGTGTAAGGGATATTGACCAAATGTAACAGTATTATTCTTTAAGGGTTCTCTGTATCAGATCAGTAATTTCAGTTTAAAGTAATCTAGTTGAGCCCTGGCTGATGGTGGCTCAATGCATTGAGTGCCAGCCTGCAAACCACGGGGTCGTTGGTTCATTCCCAGACAGGGCACAAGCCTGGGTTGCAGGCCAGGTCCCCAGTAGGGGGCATGCAAGAGGCAACCACACATTGATGTTTCCTTCCCTCCCTTTCTCCCTTCCTTCACCCCCTGTATGTAAATAAATAAGTCTTTCAAAAATAAAATGTTTTTTAAAATGTTCTAAAGTAATCGATTTGTGAATGCTCATTTTATTATTACTGATTAAATTGTAATTATCCTTGTATTTTGTAGTTCTAGTAAAGGTAGAAAAGGTAGCTTGGGCCCAAATTTGAAAAAGATAGCTGTATGCCTAATACTTAAATAGCATAACCTGTTCCTTTCGAATTGGAAAACAACTTTTTCTCTCTCTCTTTTTCTTTTAAACAGCAGTTCTGTGGTGTTCTTGGTCACACATTTATGGAGTTTCTGAAGGGCAGTGGAGATTACTGCCAGGCACAGCACGACCTCTATGCAGACAAGTGAACTGTAGAAATTCATTACTACTCCACCAAGAAGCCCCCATAAGAGTGGTTAACCTGGACACAGAAGTATTGAATTGAAATCTGCAGAGCATTTTACAAGAGTTCTGACCTGGATGGGGTAAACCTCAGTGCACTTCCTTTCTATTGCCTCAGTATTACTGGATTGAAGAATTGCTGCTTCTTGTTAGGAGGTTCATTTCATTTCCCATTACTCCCAACTTCATACTCAAAGCACTGAGAATTTCAAGTGGAGTATATTGAAGTAGACTGTTTCTTTGCACCATTTCTGTGTTCAATTTTTAAATTCTTTCATAACCCCATTGAGTGTTTTTTAACTAAATTAACATGGCTCGAATGAACCGCCCCGCTCCTGTGGAAGTCACCTACAAGAACATGAGATTTCTTATTACACACAATCCAACCAATGCGACCTTAAACAAATTTATAGAGGTAAGGTTTGATACATTTTAATTTCTTAAACTGATTGCAGTTTAATAGTGGGGCTTTTTGTCTTAAAATATTTTGGAAAATTCTGAATGTACACCTACGGTTCCAATTTCCAAAAATAAAATATCAGTGTCTTCCTTAGGTTTTAAACGTAAATTATTTTATATATTTCAACCAGGATAGGTACTTGACTTAATTTAGATTTTAAGTTAACATCTTGTTCTTCTTGCCTCAGAGTTTGCTTAACTTAGTGTGTGGACACTATAACAGTATGGCTCTTGCTCATACGAAATTTATGGGAATAAGGCTACCACTTACTTGGATTGTTCATATATCAGCTTACCCTATTTGGATAATATCATAAACCACAGTTACTATCTTGGACCCCATTTGATGTCTACAATCTAATTTTCAGTTACTAATCCTACTTCTCCCTAATGTCTCACTGCCTCCCTGTTTTGACTATAAGGAAGGAAGGTAATGCTGAAAAATTAATTTGGCTGTGTATGTACTTCAGTTTAATATATCTGTGATGCTCAGAAACAACAACTGGGCCTTCTAGGTCATAGAAATACTTTTGATGGCAATGTATATATTTTTTAAAAGCTGAGATTTTAGTAAAAGTACATTATGAATCTTGAAGCCTATAGTTTTAATGGAAAGTTTTAGAGTCTTTGAGTGTACTTTAAGGCTCTAAATTATGTACCATACTGCAAATGAGCAAAGTTTAAGCAGTTAATATAATTAAGTCATGAGTGATTCTTGTGGTTCTGTTTACCTTTATCTCTGAGTTGCTTCTAATCCTCTTTTTAGTACTTCATCTCCAACTACCCAGTACATTACCATGACTATAAACAACTTCATTCTATGAAGGACCATGGGAATTTTATCATATTCCCTTTCCTCTTACGCTGTTCTAGTATTGTCACTTAAAACAAGATTTCACTTCCATGTTAAGTGTTTCATAATTTTTTGGTCAACTGTCAGTACCTGTTGGAGATATGATCAAAATGACAAATGGTGACAGTAGTGACATAGTATAAAGATTTTATTGAGCACTTTGTAATGTATGTTTTATCCAGGAACTTAAGAAGTATGGAGTTACCACAATAGTTAGAGTGTGTGAAGCAACTTACGACACTACTCTTGTGGAGAAAGAAGGCATCCATGTTCTTGTAAGTATGTAATAATTCCTGTTGTTTATGAAACCGTACTGTATGTACTGCAAAAGTTAATTCACATAAGCTTAATTTTTTAAGTTTTGTTAAAATTGCATTATCTGAATTTCAAAATCAAAGTGAAAGCCAAGCACAGATTTGAAGTAACAAAAGATTTTTATAAAGATTAAGCATTTATTTGCATTTCATTGACCACTGGGTATTATAAAACACATGATTAGATATGTTAAAATGCATTTGAAAACATTTGAGTGTTAGAAATTTAGAATTACTAGTGTGGTTATTTATATTAAAAATCTAAAATGTTTATATATTCTTTTAGGATTGGCCTTTTGATGATGGTGCACCACCATCCAACCAGATTGTTGATGACTGGTTAAGTCTTGTAAAAATTAAGTTTCGTGAAGAACCTGGTTGTTGTATTGCTGTTCATTGTGTTGCAGGCCTTGGGAGGTGAGCAATTTGGTGGTGGTGGTGGTGGTGGTGGTGATGGTGGTGGTGGTGGTGGTGGTGGTGGTGGTGGTGGTGGTGGTGGTGAGAGAGACAGAGACAGAGAGAGAGAGACAGAGACACTTCAATTTGTTGTGCCACTTATTTACGCATACATTGGTTGATTATTGTATGTACCCTAACTGGGAATTTAACTCGCAACTTTGGTGTGTTGGGTTGACACTGTAAACAACTGAGCTACTCAGCCAGGGCAATGGAAGAATTTCTTAAATCTAGTTATGGTACTGTTTTTTAATAGTAAAAACATGGTAGTGACTCCAGTAAAAACTCGGTTATTACTTTGTGAATAAATTTGTTTTGTTAGGTTACCTACTGAACTATGTTAGGTTACCTACTGAACTAAATTAAAAAATAGATTATAACAGAGTAACGTATTTAAAATACAGCTGGAACTAACTAATGCTATAGTTACAATTTACATTTGGCTCTGTGGGCAAAATTACTTGTACTAGTAATTGTTGTGCGCTAGGTTATACCCATGATGTTGAAGTCATTGTCCAAGTTTATTGGGGGAAAGGATTATAAGTTGTCTCTAAGCTAGTTTGCATGTGGTGTATTTTTGATAGGGTCCTTGATCCTAGAGATTCTTAACTCAATAGGATCTCATACCCAGTAGTGCCAAAATATGCATGTCCGGATTTATAAAGCACTATCACTGGTGACTCCATACCTTCATTGCTCTGTCGCCCCCCAAAAGTTCTGGTCTCCTGTTGAAGATTAAAATGAAAATGGCATTTAGGAGTTGGCATGCAACTCTGTCACCTTTCCATTGATAATAAAACAATGAAAGCAGATTTCCAGGAGCTCGTTAGGAAAGGAGTTTGTGATACTTAAAAGCAAAATTTTTTTGAAGTGGAAAATAGTTTTCACTGCTTAGAATTTCAAGGGAAAATTCTGTGCAATTATCAAGATATGCCATCTCCCCTAAATATTTTCAAGATTCTCTTCCAATAATGCAAGCTTTAACTTCTACACTCGTGATAGTTGAGGGTTTAGTGCATTTTTGGTTCCAGAAAATACCGGGGTTTGATATGAAAGTATTAGTACTTTAAAGTCAACATTTACTACACGTATTACTTACAGGAAATGTAGTAAAAAGTACTTAACGTATTGTAGAATACAATGTCTGGAATATTGAATTTTCAGAGTGGGTTGTTGGTTTTGGGGTTTGTTTTTTGCTTGTTTGTTTGTTTTAATGATTTATCAAAATTCTTTACCAGGGCTCCAGTGCTTGTTGCCCTAGCATTAATTGAAGGTGGAATGAAATATGAAGACGCAGTACAGTTCATAAGACAGTAAGCATTTAATGACTTTTTTTTCCTCATTGAATGTCAGTTTAATTATATTACTGTGAAAGCAAATATTTTTCCAACAGCTAATCTGACCATTTTTAAGATAGTGTTAACACCAAGGGAAAAAAATCTTTCCTCTTTTTTTGCATTCCATTTACAGATGCATGTATGGCCATATTTCTGTGTTAAGACAGTGTAATAATCAAAAGATAAATTGTCAGATCATAGTTGCCTAAAGCTCAGTGAACATTATTATAGAGGAATTATGCCTTAATTACTTAACATCTTTTATTTTTTCCTTCCAGAAAGCGGCGTGGAGCTTTTAACAGCAAGCAACTTTTGTACTTGGAGAAGTATCGTCCTAAAATGCGGCTGCGCTTCAAAGACTCCAATGGTCATAGAAACAACTGTTGTATTCAGTAAAAACGGGTGCCTGATGCCATTGCCTTGGAAGTGGAACTTGAGAAAGGACCTAAATTGTCACACATGTTAGCCAACATACTGGCTTGGTGAATAAATCTAATGAAGCTTCCATAGGAGTATTAAAAAGCAGTTTTACCAGGCCACAAGCTTGAAAGAATTGCAACTTGTATGTTTGGGTTTCGATCAACCATTTTGACACTTAGCAAAAGATTCTTACTGTTCAGCTTTAAAATGTGCTTATCATTTGTACCAATTGACTTTTTCTGAAATCATGCAGTACTGAGTTATATCTTTAAATCTATTCCCATGCCAGAATCTTATCAATATATGAGATTTAGAAAGATTAGGTGCCAAAATGTCCAGCACAGTACTTGTATACTTTAGTATCATACAGAACTAAAATCCCAGGAACTAGGAACACTCTGGACCTTATGTGGTTTATCCCTTCCGTCATTTCAAACATAGAAAGTAGGGCCTATATGGTTATTTGCTCACTTTATGTTTACATCTCCCACATTCATACAAGTATACATCAGGTTTGCTCAACTTTTTGATTTTTATACCAAGTCTTAGTGATTATTTAATGTTTTTCTATAAATCTCATTTTGTGCTGTTATGGAAAGCCTCCATTTTGAAAATCTACATTGTACAGAAGCACATGTCTTTAATGTCTCCAGACAAAAAGCCTTACAGTTAATTTTAATGTTTGCACTTGGGGTGCAACTTATAGGGAGGGCCTGAGCAAAGAGTGGGAGGGGGCTATTAAGTATTTTTAGTAAAATGTTGCCTTTGTCTTGTGTGGAACACGTAGAATAATGCTCTTTAGTAAATATTTTTTTAAAGGTAAAGGTAGAGATGCTTTGTTGTAGCTAAAAACAATTCTTAATCATAAAAATTCTGAAATTCTTGTATTTGTTTTCATACATTCTGAAGTTGTTTACCAACTTATTTTTGTTTGATGTGTGATTTTTTTTTTCCTTCCTACCCTCTCTTGCAAAAAAAAAGTGGGTTTCTGCTAATGAATTGAGCAGACATCTAATATTTTATATGCCTTTTGAGCTGTGTAACTTAATATTTGGATACTTGATAATTTGTTTTATTATGTAATTGATAAAATGGTGATGTGTATTAATGTTAGTTCAACCATATATTTATACTGTCTGGGAATGTGTGGTTATAGTTCTGTGGGAGAAATAATTTGTCAGTGTTCACCAGCTTGTAAAAAATCTAGTGCGAGAGCTTAAACATCTAAATAAATAATGAAATGCATTTATCATCACTGACATTGTTTTGCTTAAAGTTGAACTTTAGAAAATGTTAAGACTGAATTGCATTTCACTTAGAACCATTTGAAGTAAAGTTTGTCTTTTTTTTTTTTTTTTTAACAAATGAAAGATTAAATGAAGTTACCATTCTAGTAAGCTTATAGACACAATTTGTTAGGGTCATGAGAACTGTTTAATATTAAAAGTGCTTTCCATTATAAACTTTGCTTCTTAAAGGTTTAGGTAATTTTGAACCACTGTGTACTATTCTGTACTGAGGGGAAACTATATAAAGGGGAAGTCCTTGATTTTCCCTGATTCTGCCAATTAATAATTGGCTTGGGGCAACCTCTGAGCCTTGGTTTTCTCATTTACAAATTAAAAATTACATAACTTTATAGGTTTTTTAAATTATTTTGAACATAAGTATTTGGCACAAGAGGGTTTACTAAATGTCTTAAAGGTTCTTTCAACAATCTGAAACATGTCTTTTGCATACATAGCTTATGTTAATCTAAAAGGGAGTTAAATCAGATATCCTTGTCTGATTTCTTTTTTTTAAATAACAGTTAAAAATAAAAGACTCAAAATTTGAGTAGAAAACAATATCGTGTTTTAAATACTCCTCTGTTCATGGCAGTTTAACATTTACTATCCTCCATTCTTGGAACTTAGAGAAGGGGCAGAAAGGTAAGAGGACGACCCCCAGGTAGCCTTGGTTTTTCAAATCTTATTTTGAGGTTTGAGCTAAGTTATATAACCTGGCTAATTATTTCCTGGTTTTGTTTTTGTTTTTTTAAAATACACCCTGCTTGAGAAGTCACTTTTGTACAGATTACTTACTAAATGATAATTACATAGCCCATAACAACATTTGTGTTTATTGAGAGGAGATGCCATCATGATTGAATACTCACCCTGGGAGATTGCTTATACCTGATAGGAAAGAGTTGATAACTTGTTCATGGGAAGTTATAAAGTGGTGTTCTAAATTTTGGTTACTGGATTTTGGACAGTGTTGCTTAATAGGATGATGTCAATAACTAGTTGACAAGGTTTGTTTATAGGAACCATAATGTTGCTGACATTGTGTAATGTGGTTCCTAAGGCAAAACAAAAATACAGTCTTTTAAAACAAGTGCCATTGGCCGCTTGGCAGCACACTGCAATCTTCATTATTCCTCCTAAGGCCACATTATCCTAGGACAGTGCTTTTTTATTCACACACACAGCTCCATGTCTAGAAGCAACCCAGCCCAGACATGCGATCATTTCTGGTCACATCCCCTTCCAGCCAAAGCACTTCAAAAGCTGGTCATGGTTCTCCAACTTGAGTTCAGAATCTCCATCTCTGGGGTCTATTTTAAAATGCAATTTTATGGTAGAGAATATAAAAGATGGTGTGCCCAGATATTGGTCACCAATGAGCAGTACCCCAAGCCTTTCCATAATTGAGAATACTTTCTATTAAGTTTCAGGCAGTGTAGTTTCAAATGAATAACATTACATGTTAGACATTGAAGTTCTTAAAGTTTTGAAAAAACATGTAGAGTTTGCTGTACATGTTTATACTGTATATCCCCTGATTCCTAAAATTCATCTTTACATATAAATGGAAATTAAATGCTGGTTTAAAAATGTCCGACACAATGTTTCTCCATTATGTTTGGGGTAAGTAGCCTAAGCAGAATCTTGGATGGAAAGCTAAGGAGAGTATTTGCCTTCAGTGAATTAAACCAGTTGTATGCATTAAGTTTTCCTTGGAAGAATTAACTAATTCTATAATTTGGTATGTATTTCCAGACTAACCAGTTGATTATGTACTTCCATATAATTTGATGGTAATCTCATATTATCCCAATTTTACACATAAGGGATTTGAGCCTCCAGTTAGATGACAAGCTGTTAAGTGATAGAACTCGAGGATTTAAACTTTATAATCCACGCAGATAGGACTGTGCCTGATCAATTCTTACGTAATCAAAGCTTTTATGAGTTCAACTGCCCTTGTCACTCATACTCATTTTTCTTCACACATAAATACCATGTGACATTTTTTATTTCACTTAGATTGAACCCTTTTTGTATTTCTGCAGAGAAATCTAATTTGAAGTAAATCATGATAGGCCAAGACAGGCTACAAGAACACCCACCTGAAAGCTACTTAGATTTATTTCTCACTTAAGCTCCATATCCATTACAAGGACCCATGCTGATATAGCATCTACTCTGAAACAGTGCTAGTTGTTAACAAAATAGAGGGTTGGGGGGGTGGAGTTTCTCACAATTAAGTTCTTGACTAAAAGAAATCAACATTTCTATTAAACTCGTTGGGCAGAACTGGTCACAAAACCACCCAGCATAGCGAATGCAGTCCTATCGTGCTAATAAGCCAGAAGTACACAGTATTGACAGCTACCACATCAGAATTTTAAAAGTGGATTAATTTTTAAAAGTATATCCATAGCAACATCCCATGTAACTAAAATACCAAGCATAAGGAAAGGTCTCAAGCAACCACAATAGATGTCATGAAGTTCAGGTACTAAAGTGTGCTTATTAGGGATTCATAGGTGCTTATTTAAGCATATGTAATCCTATTTCCAATACAACTTTAGCTAGCTTTGGTAATTTGATTTCCTGCCAGACTAGAGGTGGGAATTAAAATGCAGAGTATAGGGGAGAGAAGCACATGGGTAAAATGTACTATACTTGTCAGCCTGATTATGAGAGATGGATTATAAAACTGAACTGAATTCAAAAGGCACAGCCATTTGGGACATGTCGATGCCATGACTTACAGCCTTAGGCTTAGATACTTCAGTTAGACCTTCAGGTCATCAATGTACCACACAGCACAGAGCAATTACAGATACTGCTAACAATTACCCTTAGTCTTCAACACTAGGAACCCTTACATTTGGCTTTATTTATTTTAAGATAAGGAATAGTATAATGTGTTCAAGGGATGGGATGTTTTTAGATATATTAGTAGAAAAGTGGTGCCAAGAAAAAGTAAGTTGGGCAAACACTAGGCTAAACTTAGACATTATTTACTGCTGTATTATTTAGAACCTTTAATATGCTAATATGAATTTGTAATCTTTCCAAAGAGACAATATAAGATTTAACCATTGTATAAATCAGCATCCTGGAAGGAAATGATACACTCAGAGTGGGCAATTGAGAAATATTTAATGGAAGAAAACAAGGGAGAATGCAATACTATTACCATCTCTAGATCTATAGATGCAAAGGAGGGAGAGCAGTTAACAGAACTGGAGAGAACAGCTAGAGAACCGACTCACCGAAGCTATGACCTTAGCAGAAAGCCAGTGAACTAGTGACAAGCCAGCAGGAGGAAGGTAAGAAACCAAGAAATACTTAGCCTCATTTCCCATCCCCTTTAATGTTCTAATGGTCTCTTCTTGCCCCTCAGCTCCGCTTCTTTTTAGCAAAGCTCAAGAGGCAGGCACAGGACAAAGGAACCTGTAGTATATACATATCAGCCCTTTGGGAACAGAGCAGAAGGGGGAGATTATAAAGAGAAACAGAATATCCCGTGCAACTGTTTCTCTTGCCCCCACCCCGCACCAAATGACTGGGACTATAGTGTATGCAGAACACACTTCGGGAAAATTTGGCGTTATCCATTTATAAAGATACCTATCCGAACATACACAAAAGCACACATTTTTCTAAATAGTGACAATGGGAGAATCTATACTAATATGAAACTGCTCATTCATTCAATTTCAATTCTATAAATTACGTGTTGATTTTTGGGGCAACGGAGTATAGTTTTACCAAAAAAATGATAAGGCAAGCAACATAATCTCCATTTCATTTTTGACTTGTGCATTATGATCACTGTGTTGGTCATTTTTGCAAAAAATATTCCAAAGATACTTATTAACCAGTTATTATTCAGTTTTTTCTTGAAGCTTATTCTAGAGTATCCATATAATTTTTTCCTTGTTCTATTTTTAACTGATTTCACTTTATCAGGTACTTATTGGGTTGACCAAGAAGTCCATTTATTTTTCTTTAAGATTTTATTTATTTAGAGAGAGGGGAAGGGAGGTAGAAAGAGGGGGAGGGAAACATCTTGGTGCAAGAGATACATTGATCAGCTGCCTCTCGCACACCCCTAACTGGAGGTCTGGCCAGCAACACAGGCATATGCCCTGACCAGGAATCGAACCAGTGACCATTTGGTTTGCAGGCTGGCATTCAGTCCACTCAGCTGTGCCAGCCAGGGCCAGTTTTGTTTTCTCCATAAAATAAGACACATTTTTCAGTTTCAACAATAACTATCAATTTGGATATTTTTAATATGTCAGCTCTCCCATGTGGTATAGCACTGATTGTTCTCAATGTCTTGATTCAATCATTAACAACTTCAACTGGTCTACCTAACCATGGAGCATCATCCAGTGAGAAATCTCCAGCACAAAACTTCACAAACCACTTTTGACACATTCAATCAGTCACAGTACTTTCATACACTGCAAAAATCTTTTTTTGTGTTTCAGTTGCATTTTACCTTTCTGGAAATAATAAAGCACAATATGCCAAAAATGTTGCTTATTTTCTTTCATCTTCAATATTAAAATGGCTACACAAAAATTCACCAGTTATAATACACATTTTTTAAATGCATGCTGCTATGATAGCTGTCAATACAATCTAAGAAAATTGTTTTAAATGAAGTTAAAGACAAGTAAGCATGACTAGAGCCTTCTTACAGGAAAAGAAATGTCTTGGCCAACCAAATAATTTATTTTTCTAGACCTTACAACATCTAATTTCTTTTACCTCTTTCCACAATGTTCTTGTTTTTAAGTTATACCCCAAATAAGTGTATGTCTTTTTTGAGTTATCACTTATTTTATTTTATTTTATTTTATTTTTTAGAGAGAGGGGAAAGGAGGGAGAAAGAGAAGGAGATAAACATCAGTGTGTGAGAGATACATCAATAGGTTGCCTCTCGCGCGCCCCCCCACCAGGGACTTGGCCCACAACCCAGGCATGTGCCTTGACTGGGATTCTAACTAGTGACCTTTTGGTTTGCAGGTCAGCACTCAATCCACTGAGCCACATCAGCCAGGGCTATTTTAATTTTTAAAAGTGACTGATTCTCAAACTTAAGCCTGCATCAACATCATTGGTGGCTGGCCAGTGTGCTCAGTTGGTCAGAGTGTCATTCTGTAACTGAAAGACCATGGGTTCAATTCTCAGTGTTGCAGGTTCAATCCCCTGTTGGGTGCATGAGAGAGGCATTAACTGATCGATGTTTCTCTCACATCATTGTTTACCTCTCTCTCTCTTTGTCTCCCTTCCCCTCTGTCTAAAATCAGTTAGCATGTCCTTGAGTGAATATAAAAAGAAAAAAATCACTGGAGAGCTTGTTAAAAGACAGACTGCTGGGCAACTACCCCCAGAATTTCAGATTCAGTAGTTTTGGAGTGAGGCCCAAGAATTTGAATTTCTAGCAAGTTCTCAGGTGCTGCTGCTGGTCCTAGGAAAACCCTTTCAGAACCACTGCTTTACAGAAAGATGTTTCAGTGCTAAAGGAAACAGGAATGATGATATGCATCTATTATGTGTCACCTGAACCATTGTCTCTGCACTGACCCAGAGGATTTGCCATCTGGTCAGTTGAGTTGGGGATGATGACGCCAACATCCATGATGAGCCTGACAGTGGGTGTTTTCTAATACAAGAAATAATATTATAGGACATCACAAAGAAATTGGGTTGCCCAGCTCCAGGGTAATAATGAGATCTCGAAGTGTTAAAGGTCAGGTGACAGCTCTGGACCATCAGAGATAAGATAGATGAAATGACTGGAATAAATCATGGGGGTGAAATGGTAAATAGTTTTGTTCCTGGAATCTGTGGTGATAGCTAATTCATCAAGAGATCCGCAGGAATGAAACAGATGGGCAGCCCACCAAGGTGCCACTGACATATACAGGGGGAAATTATAGGTCTTCTGGTCAGAAGACATAATTCAAGTCCCTGTAGTGGGATTCATGATCTTTTCCAATTCCTAAATCTAAGCTAGTTCAGAGTCTAATGCAAAGGGGCTGATGTCTTTAAGACAGGACCCGATTTCTTTAAGAAAGGACCCTGCAACTCCTCCACCAGCTTTAAGGTGAACTTTCCTTCAGTTCATCCCTAAAGTCTTTTTAATGCTTGACTCTGCATTGAGGAAAGGGAAGTACCCAGAACTTCTGGGAATTATATTAGACAATCAGTCTGAACTTTCATTGAAACCAGAGATTAGAAATACCACTATCGTCCACCAGTCGGGGTTTGTGTTTATGGAAATCAGAGGACAAATGGAAGCTTGATCTAAACCCATAAAGCATTGATCAAGGTGGACAGTTTCTAAGATCACCCTAATGATCCTCCCCTCTCAGTATTTATATATATTAGTGGTCTGCATGACCAGTAGAATATAGTGGAAGCAATAGTAGGTCACCTCTGAGATTAGATTATAAAACACTGCAGTTTCCATCTTGGGCTCTGCTCTGGGGAAAGTTGGCTGCCACATCTGGAGGACACCCAGGCAGCCTATAGAAAGGAAAGAAAATGAAGTGTCTATCTGCAGCCAGAGGGACTGAGGTCAACCAGC